TTTAATGTCATTTCAATGTATTATGGTCGTTTTCTTCATAACAAGCATGAAAAATCGCTAATAGCATGCTACTGTTTCAGTAGCTAGCTAGCTAACTTTTCCATTCCACCTTAAATAGTGCAGCAGTTACATTCTGGTGCTTCAGGCGTCAAAACTGCTGCACCATTTAAGGTGGAACGGGAAAATTCAAACAAGAAGCTGGTGAATAACTGACTTCAGCTTCGTATCACCAAAGAATTAGCGGTTGGCGATAATAAATAATTGTTTTATACCCTCTCTTTGAAGGCATATGATGCCCTAAATGTAACTAGCAGCAGCAAGGTTGCTGAACTTTTCCCTTCTCTGCTATCACTGAAGACGGGCCGGGTCGCCCACAGAGTGCCGCTAGTAGCCTGTTAACGAAGCAGTGTTTTTTTTTTTTGTTTGTTTTTTTTAATTTGAGGGTTGTCTCATTTCGTAGGGCAGGATTTCAACCACTAACCCTTGTAACTCAGTTCCAAGGGGTTAGGGTGACACTCAAAAACAAGGGGTAGGGGTAAAAAGAAGAAATGGGATTGGGCCTACGTGACTTTTAAGACCCTTTTTACTCAGCGACTTTTCTAAAAAAAAGTGACAAGCGATAAATCTCATGAGGGGGAAAGCAAGAGATATAATTTTTTTTATAGAACTATTGTAATTTATTTTCTTTATTGACTGTTCCATAGTTAACCAAAGCATCACTAACCATCTTCAGCTATTATGATTTTCCGACACAGTTTAAAAGGTTACTTACTTAGAACCCAATTTTATTAGTCGGCCTTCATCATAGTTTATTACAGCACAACAGTTACTATGGTCAAAATACATGAAACTGGACCCACATGACATGACTAGCATGACATGACTAACATGACTAGCAAACACAGCTTTGAGCAGTTGTATACATATAAAATCAAAATATTTTCATTAAAACACTTACTTCACTTGCAGACACAAGAGAGACAAGGATGCAGTCTAGCTGCCAGTGTTTGTAATAACGAATGGCTAGAGCTGAAGTGAGGCAATTAAGGCTGAGCAAGTCCAAGTTCAGTCTGTGAAATTAAGCTACTGAAGACTAAATAAAGAAATGAATACATGAGTATTAAAATTATTCAGCTTATTATCTGCTCTTTTTTCACCCAGTTTTTCTCCCCAATTAGGTCATGTCAAATGCATTCTACGTAGGTCAGGTTAAAATTATTCATCATAAATGGCCAAAATTACTGACAGCAATGATATATGGTGTTTGGTATTTTTATGGTAGTGGTGTTTGTGCAGTTTGTAATAATAATAATAATAATAATAATAATTTATTGATCACATATTGTATCATTTATTTTTTATAACACTGATTAAACACACACTAAACACATGAACAGAGCAGTTCAGTTTCACTTTCAGTATTTTTATAGTTCTGAGAAGATACAAAAATATTATTAGTGACGTACTTTTCATTTTCATAGAGATCACTGTATCACAAACATGCTACTGAATCAGAAATTGTAACCTGATATTAGATTAGCTAATTTGTAATTATGTTGAAGTAAACCATTAATTGCTATTAAAAGTGTGTCTTTAATTCTCAATGAACATGAAAATGTATGAATAAAATTACATTTTAGACATTAATCTAAAACCACTGAGACTAGCAAGGCCCAGTCAGAATGGTTTATTTAGCAGATAAAATAATTAAACACTCTTCAAAGTTAAAGTAAACAACAGTGACAGTGACAAAGGAAAATGACAATAGAACAGCATAAAGCAAAAAATCAAAGAAGGCTATTACTACAGATACCCAATCATTAGAGATAACTAAGCATTATAATAAATATACAATACATAATGAACCACTCATTATTATAATGTGAGTCATATTAGGTTATTATAGTATTAAGATAAAGACAGATATGACAGTGAGTCATTCAAAAGTCATTACAGCACTGCTAAATAGGCTTTTGTAGAGTGTGGGAAGGGCCAAAAGATTATCTGGAGGGTCTAGTCTGCCTAGGGAGTGTTGGTGATTAGGTGCAAAGTCAAATCTTAGAGAGTTTTGGCTTGCTTCCTTTATATTTACAAGTATTAAAAAAATAAAGAAAAAGAACCACAATGATTCATGTAAATGCAGAACTGCTTTTTTAGTGCACTATTTACAAATTTTCTGTTTCCTGTATGCAATTATTTACAATTTTATCCATGTCCAGTTACTGCCTTTTTATGTTAACAAGTACAAAAGAAACCAAAAGGAAACACAAACTACAACAAAGCTTGGCTTCTAGCAACTCAGCTGAAGAGTACAATTATCAAGTTTTATTATGCTATTAATAATTCTAATATGAATTGATAGTATTAAGGTTAGTATGGTTATAATTAATTGCTACTATAATTAAGTACTATCTACTAAAGTAATCTGTGGAAAATAAATGCAAAATTAGTGACAAGAGCTTGCTATTAAAGCTTAGTTTAGCTGGCTAACAACTAAAGCTTACTACAACTTAATAAATAGCTTATTCATAGCATTCATAGAGTTTTACACAACAGAAAAAAATAAACATAAAGTACTGCCATTAAATACATGCACACACACACACATTATATATATACATAATTTGCCTTTTTTTTTTCTCCTCTGGCGCAGAAAGGAAAGGCAAAAAAGAAGATAGACCCAGAAGAAACCTTAAGGGAAGAAACTCTTTTCAGCACTCTAAAAAGAGAACCCAAGACTGGGCACTGAGCTGTGAAAACTTTCTCCTCAACCAGGAGAGTCACAGGTGATAATGTTTGCCTGTTAATTGTGAGGGAGGTGCCCTTTGCCTTCCTCTGGTGGCCAGGCTTGGTCTAACTGGCAGCCCAGTCATAGGTTGGGATATTACAATCCACCCTGTCCAGAGGAACATCTCCCAACGTTTCCAATCCAGCTGTGCGATCTCGCTGGAAAGCCCTGACAAGCTCAGGGTCCAAAATGTGACAAGCCGGAACCCAAGAGCGTTCTTTAGGGTGCCAGGTACTGAGTGCCACCTCGCACATGCTGAGAATCCAAGAGGCACCTGACTGTAAAGGCAGGAAACTGAGTGATCAGGCATGGAGGCGGACGGGTACTTAAAAAGGCCTGACATAATGTGAAGCAAGTTTGTGGGATTCAAGCCTTCATAGCAGGTCCTTTGCAAAACAGCCAAACCCATTGCCCTGGACAAAATGTGGGCCCCAATAACTTATTGTGATTGGTGACTCGCTTATGGGCCTCAGATGCTACCCAAAGGGTGATGGGGGCTTTCTGTCAAACCCAATGGCAGCAGGCAATTCAGTGATAAAATCAAAGAAAAGGTGGGACCAGGGGTGTAAGGGGTATAGGCAAGGGATGAAGCAGACCTGCTGGTTGAATCGCATAGTCTTTGTTTCGGGAACAGATCACACAGGCAGCTACAAAAGCCTGAACGTCCTTGTCCATCCCATGCCACCTAAAGTGCTTTGAAATTCCAGGGTCGGAGTTACACCTTGATGGGCTGTGAAAGGGGACATGCCCCATTGCACAGTTTGGGCCTGTGCTGCAGTAGGGAAATAAAGCCTCCCTGGGAGACCCCCTCCAGAATTTGGCTCCTGTCTGAGCATCGGGATCTGCAGTCCATGGAGGATGGGCTCAGAGGGCATCAGAGATTGGAGATTCCCACTGCCTGAAGAGGGCATCAGGTATGCCATTCTTCAAACCAGGCTGGTATGATAGCAGGTAACTGAACCTGTTGAAGAACAAGGCCCATCTGGCCTGGTGGGGCTAAAGACACTTGGTGTCCTGAATGTAAGCCAGATTTTTATGATCCATCCAGACCAGAATTTGATGTTCAGCCCCCTTCGGCCAGTGCCTCAATTCCTCAAGGGCTCATTTTACAGCCAGGAGCGCTCAGTTTCTGATGTAATAATTTCCTCAAATTCCTCAAGAGCTCATTTTACAACCAGGAGCTCTCAGTTTCTGATGTAATAATTTTGCGCAGCAAGCATGAGACAATGAGAAATATTGGCATGGGGGTGCAGTTTCTGGTCAAGGCCAGAACATTAGGAAAGCACAAGTCAGGTAAATGCAGGACTGATGCCAGGGTTAGATGCCATTCAATGCCCTCAAAAGCATTCTGTGCTTCCAGGGTCTACTGAAACTGTTCTTCTTGATAAGGGCAGTCAGAAGAACGGTGGCAGTGCTAAAGTTCCAGATGAAGTGGCGAAGCCCAAGAAGTGCTGGACCAGCCTGAGAGAAGTGGAATGAGGCCACTCAATGACTGCTTTGATCTTGGCTGGATCCACACATTTGCTGCCTCTGAATACCACAACTCTGAGAAACCGATGGGACATGAAATATTGATTTCTCTAGTTTGACATAAAGGTGGTTCTCCATAAGCAGCTGGAGGATATGTCTGATATGAGCTATGTGTTTGAGGGCCCTGGCAAGGACATTGCTAACCCAAAAGGCATGACCAAGATTTTATCCCCCAGTGTGACGCAGATAAGATTATAAGCACTGCGCAGGCCCAGCTTGGTGAAGATTGAGGCCTGCTGCAGTGATTCAAATTCCAAAGTCATCGGGGCAGGGGATACCAATCCATAACTGTAATCTTATTACGCCCCAATAATCAATACAGGCGAAGGCCCCCATCCTTCTTCCCCACAAAGAAGAACCCAGCACCTACTGGGGAGGTAGAAGACTGTATAAAGCCAAATGCTAGACCCTCCTGAATATACTCCCACATTCCTGTCCATTGAGGGCCCGAGAGAGAAAACAGCCTGCTCTGAGGAGAAATCATACAACATGTGAGGAGGTAGGATTTGAGACTTCTGTTTACCAAAGACCTCCCAGAGTTGATATTTCATAATATTTCATGATAATGATATTTCACAGTAACATGAGAGAGGTCAGGCTTATCTGAGGTGGTGAAAGATAGCTGTGGGGGCAACAATGCAGGACTCTAAACAATGGGGATCCCAACCCACCACTGACTGGGTCAGCCAGTCCAGCCACGGGTTGTGCCAGTAAAACCATGGAAAGCCCAGTACCAGCTGTAGTTGAGGAGCTTGGATGAGGAACAGAGAAATTTGATCAGTGTGTTGACCCATGTGCAGAGTAAGAGGATGGGGTTTGATGGGTGCAGAACGGAGGTGGCCTGCATGCCCACAATAGAGGCACTGACACTCATGCATGTATAGATCCCGTTCCTGGAGTGAGATCCTAGTACTGTCTAATTGCAAGGACTTCTGAGCAGATTTTGAGGACAGGGGAGTGACAGGACACATTCTATGAATCCCCTCTCAATGCTCAGCAGGTGAAGCATTTATGTGGACACCTCAAGGAGGACAGAGAAAGAAAGGTCGGCCCCATTCTACGTGGGGATGATTAAAGCAACAGGATATGCAGATGCTTGGTGTCAGTTAGGATAAGGAAAAAGATCTTGCTCAAGACCATGCAATTTGGAGATGGCTAGCTGCCAAATACTCCACATAGAATGGGAGGAAGTCTAATGGCCATTTTGACTGGAAATTAAGTACTGCATATTTTCTTTAAATGTTTTTAAGAAAGTGTAAAGTTTTCATGGTAGATTCATGCAAATTACAGAACGGTTCTGCAATTGGTTGGCATTTGCCCAGCATTGGAGTATTGGTTATTGGCTAGGGATGACCATATGTTGTTGTAATAAAATATATCACAATACAATATGGATAGCATTTGTCCAGCATTGGAGTGGGCCAGGTTAGTGACTGGTTATGAGCTAGGGATGACCTTATGTTATTGTAATAAAATACATCACAATACACTTTTTGAGTATATGATGGGTACACTCAGTACTTCTGAGACACTGAACAACTGCAAGGATTATAAAAAGGATTTAGACCAATTATAGAGAGTTAGTAAAAAACAGCAACAATACAAACACCACCACCACCAACCAGTATGTAGTAAAAGCCAAAAGTGCATAGTAACACGTAACTAACTGGATGTCAGCCCATTATGCCATTATCTGCCTTTCCTCAACCACCCCCCACCCCCCACCACGCCCCCACCCCCCCCCACCGCCCCCCCAAACAGTGGTTATTGTAATATTATAACAGACACAGAGAGTGAGTTAATACAGTATTTTAAAGAATCTTATAGGTTTTTAAGGTATTGCTACAGTCAGTGAGCAGAGTCAGAGGGGGCTGTAATCCTCCTGTTCTGATGGAGGTGAAGACCCACTGGAGGCCGAGAGAACAAAGGAGATGGAGGGAGAGAAGGGGGGATGGTCGAGTGAAAGAGAAGGAAAGATTGGGGGACGGATGAGTGAGCGAGAAGGAGAGAGAGGAGGATGGATGAGTGAGCGAGAAGGTGAGAGAGGGGAATGGAGAAGAGATACAGAGAGAGATGAAGGGGTCTGGTTGACAAAAGAAGGAGATGGAGTGGAGCGGAGGAGAGAAGAAGAGGGAGATGGAGGGGAGCGGTGGAGACGGAGAAAGGGAGATGGAGGGGAGTGGTGGAGAGAGAGAGAGGGAGATGGAGCTGGAGGGGATTCGTGGAGAGAGGGAGATGGAGGGGAGCGGAGGAGAGAGGGAGATGAAGGGGAATGGTGATGAGAGGGAGATGGAGGGGAGCGGAGGAGAGAGAGAGATGGAGAAAGAGGAGATTGGAGGCGAGAGAGAGATGGAGATGGTGAGGGAGGAGGATGAGTGTAGTATGGAGAGACAGGAGCAGGAGGGGAAGGGGGAGGGGTGAAGGATTCGTTAGGGGAAGATGGGGAAGGGGGGCAATAGTAGGGCGATAAAGGTGACAGAGGTGGTGGTGGGGGAGATGGTGGAGGCAGTGATGGTGGGGGTGGGCAGTAGAATGGCATGTGTGATGACTGAGTTGGAAAGGTAAAGTTTCTGCAGGGATAAAACACGGCCCTCTGCTTCAGCCCCACCATCAGCTCCTTCTTAGTGTAGTTATTCAGCGTGGAGATACCAGAGGACATACAGCAGGTGAAGGCCACCCATGCCACGCTTAAACACACAAACACACAGGAGACAACAAAAAAAAACAACAAAAAAATCAGATGTGTGTTGGGAATATAGTCAAATTCTGTAGGTTGTGAGCATCAGAAGAAAACACAAGCATTGTAAGTTAAAGAGATAGTTGGGCCAAAAATCAAATTTGCACATTTTCCCCCCTTAACCCAAATGCAATCGATTCCTGTCTGAAGTTTGCTTCTTTTATTTTCCACTGGAGCTACAATGCTAACATGTAGCGGTGCACAATTGGAATAGACCAAGACTAAATTTGGCAGATTTTGGAAAAGAAAAACTGGCAACCTAGAAATAATGGTGACGGTTTTCTTTATCAAGTATATCAATCTCTATTATCTCTGAGAAGCCTGTAAAGCCTGGAAGTGAGCACTTCAACAATGCCTCAGAAGCATCCAGAAAAGTTATAGTCCTTTCCTTTTTATAGTTGATGCTCTAAGTTATAGAGCCTGGATGGTACAAGGTTTTCCACATTGGCAAAAAAATGTGCCAGTGAACAATCCAATAGTTTAACATTCCTCAAAAGGTGATTTCAATGACTTTTCACCCTCATCACTGTGTGTAAAGACTAAGGTGGAAAACCACAACTAAATGCCCATAACCTTTAATAACTTAGATGGCACTACATTAAAAACTGGCATGCTTCTGTGATGGATATATAGCCTGATCTTTTTTCTGTCTGAGGCATGTACATGATGATTTAAGCATGCAGTTAGCACAAAGCAGACTGAGTAGATTAGTAGATTTGATTTATTACCAAACTATTGCTTTAAACACCAAAGAGCCACTGAACAGGTAAGTGCTTCTTTGCTTTAACACACGAGTCAGCTGTTATTCACTCATTATCATGCACTGAGCCACACAGGACAAAACGTGTGCAAGTGTGTGTGTGACTCACTAAAAGGCCCATGAGTATCCATAACTGTGTGGTTTGAAATCCTCTGGCCCACTTGAGGCTGTGACCTGGAACACCTGCATGAACATGATGTGAGCCACCATCCCCACCAAACCTGAGAGAGAGATGCACACATTTTCAAACATGCAAACTAGTTACCAGTTGCATTATGAGTGTATGCATGCATGAAAGAATGATTCCACCCTAGTAAGAGCAGTAGCATGTGCAACATACCTCCCAGCACAGTGAAGACAGCAGCATGAGCATTCAGCAGCCGCCCCCAGTGATGAGCCAGCGGCCACCAGGCAGACAAACACAACTGCACTGACAGTAACACACAACTGATACACAACAGACTGATATACATCAGCTCCATCCCCACACATAGCCAGAAGAATGCTACATAGAGAGAGAGAGAGAGAGAGAGAGAGAGAGAGAGTTTTAATTCAATCATTCCTAGAAAAGTCCAAAGTCAACACATTAACATGTTAACATGATAAATTATTAATGCCACAAATTTTTATAACACCATTAATGCATTTTCCTGACCCTTAGAGTAATGTTGTAGTGCAGGTTGAAGCCCAGCTGCTTGTGTTCTGTGTGTTGCTGTTATAATCTGACAAATCATTCCAACAAAGCATTAAAACATTTGAAGGCTGAAACCAACTTATAAAACAAGTAGGCTCTGTTGTGCCTGGTTGCAATGAAAACCTGCAGCCACATCAGCGGATAAGACTGGACACCCCTGCTACAGAAGCTACAGAGTAAATATTAAAATTAGACAAATGGTTGCAAAGTTGCTATTTTTGCTTGAGAAGCCTGAGAACACGACTAGGTGAGAACTCCGACAACAGCCTTAGAAATATGGTACCAATTAAGAACACTTTTGAGCAACTGGTGGGGTGACTGAAAAATGTTGACAAGACAGATCAACTGGGCAACTTCAAAGCATGGATTAAGCAATAAAGGATCCTGCTAAAAAACTTGTCTCCTATTTACATCATTACAGAATTGAAAAGAAGATTTAGGTGCTACCTGGGAAGATGGCAAGGACCATCAAGGGGCAGCATCATTCTATATGGAAGTATCTACAAACTGAGATTCCTGTTTCAAGTCCACTGAAGGTAAGTTAAAGGTCTTGTAAGCAAGGGTGGTGCTACAATCCAGAGAGTCAGGTGACTTAACCTGAAAATCTCAGGAAGAGGAGTTCTTATAAACACTGATAGGAAATGAAGAGTAGACGCAGGCAGAGGAGCAGGCAGAGAAACAGGGAAAGTCACGGCCATGCCTGCTATCCCACTAGGAGTAACACAACACCTTTAACAGATTTCCTGCAGCATGTGGTGAAGACTACCCCCCCCTAGAACCGATATCATCCTAGTCACCAAAGACCATCATCATTCTGGAGGAATTGTGGAATGACTGTATGGAGGAGGCCTTTTAACAGAAAAGGGACAGTGCCATTCATATGATGAGGTTGGAAGATTTGTTGCTTGCCTCTAGAGGTGGAGTGTAGGGGTCTTGCAGGGTAGTGCCTTGGTAAGGTGTACAATGTACTTGACACTCTTGACAGAGGAAGAGACTAGCCATCTACCAAAGGCCACAGAAAGAGCCTCAGTGGTCACAAAATGACGAGAGTAGATCCATAAGAATGTGCTGCTAGGGCACAAGCTAAGGCGGAATCAACTGCAGCGGGGTTGTCAGAGTGAACGTGTAAGACCTGAAACTCCTGTTACATGTGCCCTAGAGTAGCATCAGAAGATGTATCTTGACAACTGTGCATCTGTAGAAACCAGTGGCTACCAGGAAGCAAGTGTATTAGGCACACTATGCCAGGAAGAAGCAGGCAAATCATGGCTATGTCTGCTGTCCTGGTGGGAGCAGCACAAGACCTTCAGCAGACGTCGGCAGACAACTCAAGTTCCCGCAGCATGTTGTCAAGGCTACCCTCAGACCAGATATCGCCCTTGCGTCAGAGTCAGCAAAGACCGTCATTATGCTGCATTCAGCAATTAGCTCCTGCATGTAGCATGCATCTGGAACTAACTGCATGCTGGAACTAATTGCTGTGGTGCTGTAAAAAGTTCATATAAAGGTGGTTTTTGAACATAAAAGGGACAAATATGTAAGTCTGTTTAGAGACTGACACAGATGAGGCTGGAAGGATAGGTGTTTGCCTCTAGAGATAGAGTATAGGGGTTTTGTAGTGCAGTCCCTACTTAAAATGTAGACCGCACTGCCTCACTGGGGAAAAAAAGGTCCTGTACCAAAGAACGAAAGCTGCAGAGGGAACCTTAAAAAGGCTCTGAAAGAAGATTGGATCCACAAGAAGTTGCTGCTATGACACAGGCTGAGGCTGGATCATCCTGACCAGGGTGAGGTTTTCTGATGTAGAATGAAAATCCTGAGGACGCCAAGTAACGGCGCATGATCAGCTTCAGGGTGGACAAATGGATCGTTTGAAGGGGTGAACTAAGAAAATGCCTTAGCAGCAATAATAAAATTGAATGGCATTAACAATTTATCGCATTAACATGTGATTAATGTGTTAACTTTGACACACCACTAATAATTACACCTAAATAATCATAAAATGTAAACCAAATGTAAGAGAAATCAGTTCTAAGGGTTAAGACAGAAGAGAGCTCTGAAAAACAAAAACTAGAAAACTAGAAGGCATGAGTTCATTTGGCATTGAGCACAATAAATTATCTACTCTCAGCTTCACTAATGATTTGCACACTGACAGTGCATCACATATTCATTTGCTGTTGTAAACTTGCCATTTCTGCCTTAGCCACAATGAAACAGCAGTGCATTTGTGTTTTCCATCTATTTATCCATGAACTCTGGAAATAAAAAACAAACTGTAAAACATTTCCTGAAACAAATTATCATCTAATAAAAAGCTTGAAACAGTTAGCTACTCTGGAGTTGCAGCATGGGTGTGTGTTTTGGAAGACTGCAGTATGTGTGTCTCTGCCTTATTACCTTTCTCTGATCCAGGCGTCAGAGCCATGAAACTGCGACATTTCTCCTCTAAAACAGACAGAGGGAGGAGTTATACAGTCATCTTTCACAGGTGACCTCACTGGCCACAGAACTTCAAGCAGCCTATCACTGATCATCCAGATCTACCCTGCATGTATTCTCTTTGTATAAAATCAGTATCTCTGGGTGGGTTTTCTCTGGGTGGGTAGGATAGCCCTCTACTCCATCACTGAGTGTAATGCTAGCCAGGGTCTGTTCGCTGACATAACTGAATTGACAATTAGCATTCTCCTCCAAGCATGCTGAGCAGTAGTTTGAAAACATGCAGTGTTTCTTCACATGTCTCGGAGCAAGATCATGTTAGCCTTTGCCCTCCAGGATTGTTGGCATCACATAAGGGGGAGCCCTAGCTAGGAATGGGAACTAGTCATGACCAAACTGGGGAGAAAATTGGTTAAGAGCAAGAAAATAGAGATGCTTAGCATAACGTATTATCTAGTCTACATTTGTCATAATTCTATAAAAATAAATTTTACTTGATCTTTGTTTGATTTAATTCTGAACTTATTTGAGTTCATCCAATCAGGCTGCTCTATGCAAACAGTGCTAAACTATCATAGGACTGTGGGAGCAGATTAAACATGCTGCGTGTGTTGTCTGGATAGCAACAGTGAGAGACTCCAGTGAAACAAAATACTGAATGAAGCGTAAAACAACTGATTTTATTTGGTGATATTTGGTGATGATTAGTGTAGGAGAGCTCCATGATCCGTGCTACTCCTGCTGCACAGTCTAGGCTTAAATTATCTGCCTAGTGAAATACTCACTTCTGTCTCTCTCTCTAATCCATAATTGAGTTCTGCTGAATGCTGATGGAGACAAAAGCAGCCCAAACATCGAATGCAATAATCTTCTTTAGAGGCTGTTACAGACACACATGCACACACACACACACACACACACACACACACACACACACACACACCCTCCTCAGTTAAAGGTCTGTTTCACAATTTGAGCTTGTGTAGCGGTTTTGATGAGTACGAAACTAAAGCTGAATAATCTGGTTGTGAGTGTAATATACAGCAGCACTGATGGGGGCATTTCATTCACCAACACTCCACACACACACACACACACACACACACACAGCTGTTAATCCTCCTATCGGCATGTCTTAAAGCCCATCTCCCTTTGTACTCCTCTACCTGTTAGCTATGTTACAATCTACAGCATCTTGATAAACTGACCGATTTATCTTGTACCTCTTTACAAGTTTTTACTTCTGTGTTAAATTCAACTGAAATCATTAAGCTCAATTACAGTTCCCACCCATTCAGGTTTTTCCAGGACCATCTTGGTTTTTTGGCCGTCTGTTCAGGAATAAAATAATTCCTTTCTTAGATACAAAATATCCTGGAATCTAAGCATTTTCATATGTTAGCATATGTTTATCATAAAATTTGAAGTCTTACTTTATCTAATCATACCATCTGTAAACAAAGAATGAGTTTAATTGGTTCAGATTACCTTCAACATAGTGACAATTATTTTGGAACAGTGCCCTGTTAGTTGCATGTTTAGGCACTAAATGCACTAAAGAGCCCTTTTTATATTTTTTTCTTGTAATCATTTTCATTTTTTGTTACTGTGCCTTTAGAACAGACATAAATGATCTCTGTTCTGACTGGCTGCCCTCTATTGTGCCTTATTCAAAAAGCAGTGCAAGCTGAAACGCTCCTTATAGCATAAGCACGAATGAGTGGAGTTAAACTGCTATAGGCTGAATAGGCAAGAATGTATATACATTCATTGATTTTTGTGGCATCATAAAAACAATGAATTCAAAACAGGCTGTTTTTGCAGCTTTGTTTACATTTATGGAATGCATGGACTGGGGAGTGAATAGTACATTTTGAAACTTTATCCGTGTTTACATACTACATCAAACTTACAAACTTATTTCTAAAAAGCGCTGAAAAATCAGTTTTTCATGATATGGACCCTTTAACTGAGAACATTAGGTTCTGTAGCTAAACTGACATCTAACTGAGCCTAGACTGCATCACAAGCATAGCCATCCATCTTCTGAATTTAGAAAAAAATCAAGCTGTTGATCAAATGTCCAGGAATTTTACAGGGCTGAGGTGTCATCTCTAAGCATGATTCACCATATCATCTCATTTAAATGACAAAACTTTTGTTTTCCATCAAAATGCAATGACTTTTGACTCTAAAACATCTTCCAATTTTTCATTACATCACCGTTCACAAGCAGACAGGAAGGAATAACATTAACCAGTAATGTCATTTCCCCTCTTCCACCATTCCCACCTATCGTTGAGGGAAAACACTCAGCTGAGAGACCCTCCCTAATACCATGTGTCACACTGAAATGTCACGGTATGGAAGGAAAACGCATTGCAGTGACTTCAAAATGGCTGCTTCTTCTGATTTTAACTATGCTACATATGTTTGTCTACTTTTTAAATATCACAGTATGTCGCACAGTGTCAGAAACCACACCAGCAAGTTTATTTGAGATTACTTGACAACCTGCTTTCGGGCAAGTATGTGATGATTTAGCCATGCAGTTAGCACAATGCTAATTGGTGAAGTATACACTTCTACTACTTCTACTACACTAGCCTCATAACTCTAGTGCAAAACACTAGCAAACGTCTGATTCCAAACATGTCTTAGTTTAATTAGTGATAGCTAAGCTAATGAGCTAACTACATGATAGATAACATTAATATTAGCTATTATTAGCTTGCTAACTATACATTTCATGGAAACAGTAATGTTATTCATGTTAGACTTCATATAGTTCATTAAGATCATCTCTACTGACAGACAAAATTTAATAACACAGTACTAAATATCTGCATTTTTGACCACCTGCCTCCTCACCCCAAGCATCTGTGTGTATGTTTTCCTCGCAGCTACTCCAGATTCCAGCATGGAAGGTAGGGAAGATAAAGCGGTCATCACCGGTCTCCCAGGAGAACTGAGATGATGTGTTGGACACACCAGGGACAGGGGTGCAGTGGTGCAGCCTGGAGGTGGTGCAGAGCGGCTTCGGTACCTTCTGTCTACCGGAACACCAATGAGAGGACAACAGGGCCACAGCCGAGAGGGCCAAGGCCAGAAGGGTCTGTAAGAAGGACAGCTTGGGGGAGCGCAGACGGGATAAAACGGCCATCACCTCTACAAACACACACAGAGAGACAAATTGGACAGAGAAAGTGCAGTGTCAAAATTCATTCCCCCAGTTTTGTTCCCCTTACCCCAAATGTAGTATGGTTACGTCCTACCACCATGCCATCTGCATACCTACATCATCATTCCCTTGCTTTAAATGTTTATACATGTTGAGCTGTTGAGTTTTCTTAAAAAGACTTGCTTATCTAGGCCTAAAAGCCTCTAAGGGTAGGAACGCAGATCTAGGATCTGTTTGTATCTGTAACTAGGAGAGAAATCTGATCCAAGATCTGTACTCATTCTCTGTATGACATGCTTTCATCTATAAAAATGGACAAAAGTACATAGCATATTTGGTCCATTCTACCACTAAGGTGTAGAGCAGTGTTCTATAATTGTGAGAAAATGAAAATGAGCTCAAAATAACAGTAAACCACTGGAAGTTGATTTCCCTGTGTTCTTTGCTGTACTCATTTAATAAACCAACAAAAAATAGACAATTCTTCTTTTTGTATTTTTAGATTAAGGATTTTCAGTCAAGCATGAGAACCTGAGGTATTACTTTTATGTAAACCAACAAACTTGTTGCTTGTATTTCAGTTTATATAGTTAAAATGCATTGAAAGATCTGTTGATATATAAATAAAATTTTATTTGGATAATATTTCATTAGAAGCCTAAAGTTACTAAAATATTTTTATATTTCTGATGAATTTGGCTAAAGTATTGACAGCTTTGTCACAAAAATATTGTGTCACTGATGTTACTCATGAAATTTTAAAACTGAAATAAAATAATGACATGCAATATTTGTAACTTTCTACAATGTGACTGCTAGAGGATTGTATTTTAGAAAAGCTTAGATTTAGTACCTCTGTCAGTGGTGCTACAATGTTACTGATGTTGCTTAATATAACATTATATTTTACATTACTAACGCAAAACTAATGAAGCAAACTTCATACACCTAGCATAACTTTCTAAACAAGTACAAATGTCCAAATTAGGTTAATTCTTTACACATTTGATTGTGGACCAGTGTTTGCAGTTTCCAGCCAAATAGTGCATGAATATTTGGGTAAATGACTCACCTTTTTTGAAGAAATCTTTTTGACTTACCGTAGCAAACAAAATATGGAGGAAGAGATTTCTGCACTATACAGTTCCATTTGCTTCTGCTTCTGTTTCATCTGAACAAAACCCAGGTGTCTCAGTCACAGGTTAGTGTATTAAGCTCCACTCCGCTAATCCACAGATACATCATTAAATCCACATTGAATAAGATCACTGTGCTGCAATCTGTTTCATTTCAGACCAATCTCACACTCAGATATCACATTGACCCCAAACCAGCCTGCCAATACAAACACACAAACATTCACACAATCTAGACTGTGTTGGTGTGTGTGAGGTGGTGGTGGTGGTGAGGGAGGTTCCCTGAGCTTATATATGACTATGGCTAAATGTTACTGTGCTTCCCCTACAGTACTCAAAGATAGTTTAGAACATATCCGAACATATTTGGTCTTGTTTATTTATTACTTTCCAAGCTAAAAGTTATCATTTATTCATTTCTTTTTATCAGAAAAATAACAACAACCAGCAATAATGACCAGGATTGCTAAATGAAAGTCAAAATGATCCTGGTAGTTGCTTGAAAATTTAAGTCAGTTTTTATTTTTTTTTGCCTAATGATTCTTTTGTTTGACAGCTCAAAGTCTTCGAGGCATGGACTGCATGGGTTTGCACAACTGTAGCTCAGGTTCCTGTCTCTTTCCTCTAATTCAGTATATTTTGCTAGGTTGGACCATGCCTTCAACATGGTTAAATTCTAAAAAGACACTGTATGGCTAAGAGAGGAGAGAACTGTGAGAACATGGGCTGGCATTCTGGGTTTGTTAGACTACAAGCAGGAGGAGCTTCGGGCACGGTCCTCCTCCCGAACTTGTTACTTTACTCAGTAACTGTACAGTATGATGCATGAGTTCAGAGGTCTACTGAAGATATCTGGATTGTGTGTATATTTGAAAGTGTCCCAACATTTTTTTCATTTTAAGCAAAATGGGAGGTTAGGTGAAAGTTATCTAGAATTGATAAGTTACAACTGAAATTCTGCACTTTTGAAAAGAAAAATTCTATTTTATTTTTCAGTCATTTGAGCAAAGCAGCTGTCCTTTACATTGTGTGAAAACTTTATGAGGATTAAATACAATACAAATGTCCCAAAATTAATCTCAGCCTCCAAAAGGTCAGCTTTGGCCTCCTGTGCTTTTTCTATTAAAGGCTGCGATTTCTGAAGAAAAAAAAAGCAACTTTTCTTGTGGAGAGAAACCAAATGTCCCCACAAACTATAAAACGTTCATTATTTCATCATCTGAGGCAATTTGGACCCCACAGTGAGATAAATACATAGGCACATGCATACATATAAATACAGAGGATAAGTGGAAGAGGGATTAGTATCACTGGCTTGAACTCACACTTAAGAGTCAGTCTCAAAAATCGTAGCTGTCTAAAAAAACAAGCATATAGTGTTATATATCTATACCTGTGAAGACCTCCATTATGTAATGTTTAAATTTAAAATGTACTCTTTGATTTTTTGTTAAATTAAAGGTACAAACATTTTGTACATCTCTGCATAATTAAATGATTAAGATGTAAATAAAATAATTCAGAGGTTTGACATGAAATTATTTTAAAGAGCTACATCACAAAGTTATTACACAAAATTACTAACACGCTGCCTTATGCCTGAGACACTGTTTTATCACCGTTTTGAGAAGGTTTTGGCCTTGAATATTATTTTTTTTGTAAAAGAATTTCACAGAGGGGTACATACAGGGCACTGTAAGGCAAAGTAGTACTCTGATTTTTTTTTTCAGATTTAACACTGGAATTTCCCTTTGAGCTGTGAATAGCACTGTTAAGACCCCCGTAATGTTCCTTTCATGAACTTGTGCTGCCATTTGGTGTATGTTATGTATTGCACTGTGCGCAAGTACATGATTGGCCACACAGGGGCACTCACCCGTACTAAAGAGGTCACCATACCAGCACCTGGAAGACGTTCGACACGGGACTTATCCCCTACTTTCCCCAAGCTCACAGTCCAATAAACTTTTAAACCAAGTCCAATAAAGTGGTCACAGATTAAACAATGGAGGTGAAGTGAAGCAGACTGGAGAGAGCCCTGAACATGTCCCAGGTGGTGGCCTGGTGACCTCTTTTATACGGGTGGGTGCCCCCGGGTGGTCAATCATGTACTTGCACACAATGCAACATACACAAAATGGCAGCACAAGGCTCATGAAAGGAATTATTACACCCATTACAACTGGGTGTCGTAACAAGCACCAACAAGGGCTTTTTCACATTTGTGAGGACATTTCACTGAGAAGTGTAGCAATAAACAGGGAAACTCAGCAGCTTCTAGCTATCTGGAGAAACACAATTAGATTACAGTATTTGCATGAGATAACTGTGCAGGAACTGCTTCACATAAGTGGAAACGTTACAGATCTGATCAGGATATTTTCCTGAGTCTTTTCAGACTGTTTTTTTTTTTTAATGTTTCTTACAGAGGATCAGACTCATCATCGTATCAGGTAGTCATTACTTACTTAATGCCCAATTCCTACACTGTGGGCCCAGTGTGATGAATTGATTTGATTTAGTTCCAAAATTCATTGTAGTAAGGGAATATTTCACAAAGCAGGATTTCACAGATAAGAAGTGATGGATCAGCCAAAAATCCAAATGAATACAATTTAACAAAAACACATCTAATACTTAAAAAAAAAATAAATACAGCAGCCATTGTGAAGGCCTACATTTATCTGTACTTTTGTCCCTTTTTATAGATAACAATGTGTCATACAGTGCCAAATAACACATAATCTAGTCTATTTGAGATTACGTTGTAATTTGAGATGGTTTGAGGCAAATGTGTCGTGATGTAGACATGTAATTGGCACAGTGCTAATTGGTGGCTATAAGCTTTAATTTTTTGTTTCCTTCTTACAAGGCTATTAGCCTTGTAGCTCTAGTGCAAAAATAAAAAAGCAAACTGCAGACACCAGACATGTCTCATCAACTATATTTGGAGTAAAGGTAAAATTTGGTAAACTTGATTGTTTCCCACACTATCAAGCCTAACTTACACAATCCTCACTTCGGGCTTATCCAGCTCTACTAAGAAATCCTGCTTTCTTGCTCAGACACGCTTCATTTTTAACTCCCCTTTGAGGACTGAATGGTGTGCACTATCACACATTAGCCACCAGAGGGAGCGCTGTTACACATCAGTCATCTTTCTCCCACACGCGTATGCGTGTACACATACACACATGCAGGAAATCACACCCCCTTCTCTGTTCAGGACCTGTATTCATGAAGCATATACATATTGACAGTTTTGTAGTACAATGTGATTTCATATGGTCATTCTTTTTTGTTCAGATTTTTTACAAGAATAAAAAATGATCATAACACCAGGTGGAAATGTACCTTTCTTGTTACGGCAAAAAATGTTGGTTGATGGATGAGCGGCCCGTGCGGCTGAATGAGGAATAAACCCTTCACTCCGACGGTTCGGGCAGAGAAATCCGTGGATTCTCCATCCTCAGCCTTTTTATTTCAGTTCTCCCTCAAACATGAACTATTTTTTTCCTCATGGAAAATATCATGTCTGTTTCATTTTCCGGTGAAGTTTACTCCACTGTAAAAACCTGGTGATGAAAAATAGGAACACAGGCACATAGGCAGCAAAGCCTGCTCGCTCGCTCTCTCTCTCACACACGCACGCACACATGCACACACACACACACACACACACACACTCAAAAGCACACCTTCGAAGGCAATAAATGTCTGTTCTCCACGGCAACAACGTCTCTGTGGCAACAGGACCCCGACATTCTGTGTGATGTCACCGAGAAAGCTCCATCGTTGTAAAGGAATGATGTTTTAACAAAGAAAAAAATGACCTGTTCTCTTTCTCCGTCCAATCGCAGATACAATAATAAAGAGTTTGTCCAATCAGACAGTTCCACTTCCACTGGAGAGTAAAATACTGATGAAATAAACAAATGTGATTAAAATAATAACATGAATAATACTACCATAATACTACA